TTCTACACCATAAATCTACCAAGTGAATACTCAATTGAATTTAAATTACCTGCAGAGGAGTGTCTCCACGCTATCTATCATATTTTGCAGAGAAAGATATTAGATGTCTCCGCCTAGTGGGACGTGACTGGAACAGCTCGGACACCAACCAAGGGGTATCCTAATGAGATGGCCAAGTCACCTCAACTGGCTCCTCTCGATCTGGAGGAGCAGTGGCTGTAATCTAAGGCTCTCACTGTTTGCCGAGCTCCTCACCCTGTCACAGAGAGTCAACCCAGCAGCCCTGCAGAGAAACCTAATTTCTGCCGCTTGTATCCGCTATCTCGTTATTTCAGTCATTACCCACAGCTCACGACCATAGGTGAGCACAGGGAAATATTGTAGATCAACCGGTAAACCGAGAGCTTTGTCTTCAATCTCAGCTCCTGCTTCACCAACACAGACCAGTACAGTGCCTGCAAAGCAGCTGACGCTGCCCCGATCCGGTTGTCGATCTCACGCTCCCCTCTTCCATTTGAACAAGATCCCGAGATATCTAAACTCCTCCACAAAGGCCAGCTGTTCCTCCCTCACCTGGAGAGAGCAATCCGCTCTTTTCGAGGAGAGAACCATGACCTCAGTCTTGGAGGCGTCGATTCTCCTCCCAGCCGCTTCTGCCCGTGGCAGACCCAGGACACGCTGGAGGGATTATATCTCTCGGCTGGTTTGGGAGTGCCTGGGGATCCCACAGGAGGAGCTGGAATCTGTTGTTGGGGACAGGGGAGTCTGGGCTGATCTACTGTACTTGGCTTGCTGCAACTGCAACCCTCACGAGGAAAAGAGTGAGAATGCATGGATGGAGATTTTAGATGTTGGAACACAACAAACAAACCAAAGCAAATAACCGGTAAAAGCAAATAATCTAAATGAGAACTAGGAGGATGTTTCTTGTGACATGGATTTACAGTATATTTGTGTTTTTTGTAATTTTTTTTGAGAATTTTCTAATAAATATTTTAGGATTATTGTTTCAGATATTTTTGTGAGGTAAAAGGGACAATCCAAGGCAAATCCAAGAACTTTGCTGGGGATTTCCTTAAGGCCAACATACACCCTTAATGTGTTTTATCAATCTGGTAAGAAACATCAACATGGTTTCTTTTAAGGAAATTCTGTACTGGACTTTCATGGATTATCAAAGTCTTTAATGGACCCTATTTGTGTTGTTTTAACTGATTTAGTGCTGGATTGACCAAACAGGCCCTGTTAAAAGGGTCTTAAATTTTCCACTGTAAAATTGCAGGGATTTTTACAGTATAAATTTTCGGAGCAATGAGGAAGTACCTGTCACTGTCAATCACCTAACCAATTGGAGGAAGTAAATTGGTTAGGTGATACTTAAAACCAGGAGGCAGACTTCCAAGGGGCTTCCTTTCAGGTGACACTTCCTTTGTTAGCTGGGAAGTTAGAGTAGCTTCTGTTATCAGCCGCACTTAAGGGAGAAATAATTGAGAAACAACTAATAAGCCAGTGGATGTGAGGTGTTTTAGGAATATTTTATTATATATCATTATAAGAAGGATATTATAGTTTATTTTTTATGGAAGAGTTTTGAAGAGAGTCTTATGTATATATGTAGGTAATCATCTGCCTAGATTCTTATAGAATCTATTAATGTATCTCAAGTGCAGTTAGACTCCTAATAATACATTTTCTGTGTTATTTTGTTATTTCCTCACACTCCAGAACAAAAGAGCATTGTTTTTTTTTCTTCAACTGTGTTTTTTGTATACTTTCCCTAAGACCTTTCTGTTCAAAGATTTTGATATGCCACCATCTCTAAGTCATCCACAAAATATATAATATTTAAAGTAAAAGTGAAAACTGAGACTCTCCTTTTTTCTGTTATCTCTGCATAGATTATATCTAGGGATATACACAATATTAGTCTTGTCAGTGAGGGCCACAACCTTCCTCCTTTAAATGCTAATTTGCTAGCTGGTGCTGTGACACATAAAACCTATAAAATCAACAGTACAGTATATGCCTGTAGAAGAAATGAATAAATATATTATTTAAAAAAATGATTTATGATTTATCAAAGTGGGGGTCTGAAAGAAAAAAAAGTGCAATATTATCTGTAGTTCTAGTATCTCTATTAATAAGTTTGTGTTTTCCAATTTTGAGTAGTCAGTGAATGTCAACTCCTTTTCCTTACAAAAGCATTCAAATTCTTCCTATGGTGTACTATTTTGTGAAAACACAAACTGATGTATCACATGTTTTTTATTTTAATATTTTATTCAAATTCCAAATGCTCAATCCGAAAACTTCTAAGGATACGATACAGTAGGTTACAAAAAATGTCAGCAGAAATTAAAGATAAAGAAATAAATATGCTTTTTGCATGAGTATTCAAACCCTTGAACTCAGTATTTGCTGGAAGCACCTTTGGCTCAATTACTGCCATTAGTCTTTTTTGTTAAGTCTCTACCAACTCTTCACATAGAACCGATGCAATGTTTGCCCAATTTTCTGTTCAGATGTGCTCAAGCTGGGTTGCTTGGGGATCACTTAGGGACAGTAATTCTTTTCATTCCTCAAATTCTCAATAGAATTCAGGTCAGTACCTGGACTGAGCCTTTCTAGGACATTTACTTTCTCATGCATAAGCCACTACACTAGCCAGTAGTGTAACGTTTGCCATGTGCTTTAGGCCATTCTGTTGCTGAAAGGTGCATTTTTTCTCAGTTTTAGGTTAGAAGTAAATTTAATAGTGCTTTACTCTATGTTCCCATCAGTCTTGACAAACATCCTAGTCTCAGCTGATGAGAAGCAAAATTACAACATTATTCTAATTCTGCCATCACAACACTTGACCATAGGAGTGGTGTTGACTGAGTGATGCTCTGTGTTAGATTTTGTAATTCTTTACATTGTGACCAAAATTATATATATAAAGTATTTTTTGTATTGTTTAACCACAAAACCCTTTGCAATGTTTGCATGGCATGCTTTGGAGTTTTGTTGCAAAACCCATGTGGAATTTTGGGTTTATGTGAAATTTCCATGCAACCCCCTTTTGTAGAATGACTTGGATATTGATATACCATCTTAGTGACTGAACTCTCTGTCAAAGTCACTATTGGTGTCGTTGTGGCATCCTTAATCAGTTTCCTCCTTGCCTGGCTGCTCAGTTTGATGGGACAGCCTGATCATTGAACCATGCTCAACAAAATATTAAGGATCTTTCTATCCCCTGACCAACTTTATCCCTG